CTGAACTTTTGTTACTGCATATGTTAGTTGATCAATGGCATGAAAATATACAAAGAACTTTCTAAGTTTGGAGTTGTATGATGCTCCTTGATAACCAGAAAAGTTAACAAACAGCCTGTTAATAAAGTTCCGTTTATTGGTGATAGATTTACTAGTAATATCTGCAGTGTTATCTGATGCAAAAAAATATGTTAGTGAAGTGATAATATTGAAAGGAGTATCTTTCGTGTTAAAATCACGTGATTAGTCAATTTCGTTTACATTGTTTTCAACTTGGTCAGCTTAAGAGAGTTGTTTATTCTTTCCTTTGTCAGTAGTAGTAGAAGTAGTTGGGAGTGAACTAAGATCATCTGTTTTTTTCTTTGCATGTTTTGAAATATTAGTGTTAGCTTCTTGAGACAAAGAAAGTGGAGTATTTTTTGTTTTATCTATTTCCATTTTATATACTTCTGAGTCTTCAAAGACAAAACCTGTCTCAGGAGTGAAAGAGGTGGTCTGTGTAATAACTGTTGTTTGTTGGATGATATCAGGGTCTTCGATTGTTATAAGGGTAGTATCAGTTGTAGTAGTATCAGTTTTTTGTCTTTTTGTAATTTTAGTAATATTATCATTGTTCTTGTTCTTTCCGTTATTGTTGGAGGATAGAACACTAGGTTCTTTGTTATTATCTGAAGCGTTTGGAACAGTTTTGTTATAAGGTTCAGTTTTTTTTCCATAAGTGCTCTGTCTTCTAGTTGTTGGAAACATTTGGTCAAAAAGATCAGTGAAAAGAGTTCATTTTTTTCTTGCAATTATTAGATAATAAGTTATTTTAAAAAATTAAAAAATTGAAAAATTAATATATATGATAAAGATATTTAAGTATAAATAGTATATATTTACATGAAATAAATTTAAATTTTATGTAGCTGATTTTGTTAATTATGTAAAAATTTTGGTTTTCATCATCTAGAATCAAACAGGAAACAACTATCAGGTTTGAATTAAAATCATGTTTTATTAATTTAAGTTTAATTTAAATTCTCAATTAAATACAAAATGGTAAGAAATTGGCTTTATAAAATAGGATTTAAGTTAAACAATTTAAAAAAGGTATTTAAGTTAATAGTTGTAAAAGACCTGATGTAATTGCATATAGGTTAAAATATTTAAAAAAAATAGCAAAATAAAAATTTCTAATATCTTAAATAAAAATATTTTTGAATTTTATTTTATTCAATTAATTTTTATAAATTTTAATATGAAAAATTAATACTAAAATTTGAATGATAATCTAAATATTAAAATTAATCATGATTTATAAGAAAATGAACATGTGCATATTTTGATAATTTATAATAATATACTTTTCATTTTAATGATAAGAGGTAATCTTACATTGAAACTGTGATTTATGACTGCATTTTGATTAGTCATATGATCAAAATAATTAACAAAGTTGACGAAATGGATAAATTAGACCTGGTTGCTAAAGTGGTCATCATTAATCTATTTAATATATTAGATAAATTAGTTATAATTATTATAATCATTATACTTTTTAATTATATTTAGTTAGTAGAGTAGATATATTTATCTTTTATATTATATTTATTATATTATATTTTATGGTATTTTATTTTGTATAAATATCTTGTATTTTCCTTGAGTTGAAAGTAACTCAAGATAGGATTTAGAATAAACTAAGAATTCAATAAAGAAATCTTTGAATTTATTTACTATTGCTTTTTGTCATATTTTTATATAGGCATGATTGTGATATTATCTTGTATTTAATTTGATATATTGAATTAAAAGTTAATCATTTATGTTTACAGATACTAAGTCAACAATATGAAAAGTAACTACTTCACAAGAAAGGAAGAGGAAGAAGTATTAATGTTAGCTATTTTATGTGTGAAGAAATTAGAAATTACAATTAAGTGAAGAATAAAAGTTGCCTAATAATATTTCACAAAAGCTAGAATAATAATAAATCCAAAAATAAATAATGATAGTTACAGGTTGTTGATTATGCAACTCTAATATTTGAAGCAACTTATCCTAAAGCTATTATTATTTTTGCATTTGATAATTCCACTTCATATAATGCATTGAGTTCTGATGCTTTTATTGCAAGCTATATAAATATAGAATCTGATAGTAAACAACTAAAAATAAAATAAAAAACATTAATTTTAATAGTAATGTTCAATTTATAAATTTTTCTGACAATTATCTTAAAAAATCTTTTTGTAAAAAATAAAGAAATGAAGCAAATTTTACATAAATATTAATTATTAGTACCAGGTTTAAAAGGTTTTTGTAAAAATGAGAATTGAACAAATAATCAAAGTTATATGCAACATATTTTAGAAAATCAACCAAATTTTCTTGCTCAAAAATGCATGATTCAAGAAATTATTAAAAGTAAAGGTCATAAGGTAACTTTCTATTTAAAATTTCACTACGAGCTTAATTATATTGAAATACACTGGGATGCCGCAAAACATTATTCAAAAATAATTGTAATTACATATGGAACAGATTTTAACAAGTTATTCCTATTGCATTAGATCATGTTTCTTTATTTAGAGATAGAGCATTTGCTAGAAAATCTTTTAATAATAAGCTTCATGATATTTTAACCAAATTTTAATTTTTAAATTTGGCTAAAATTATAATAAATTCTTAATGCAAGCTGATATCACGTTATATTTTAAAAATAAATTTAACATCTAATATTATATGTTGCTGTGACTAGAGTTCTCAAAATATATATACAATAAATAATTCTATATAATTAAATCAACCAATACTATTATAATATTATATTATCCTATTTTTTACATACCTGTCATGGGTATTAGAAAAAAAAGTACTGGCTAGTTTGTTCATTAATTTTATAAAAATAAGTTCTGTTGCGAATTTTCAAAAGCAAGCAATATCAGATTTAAACTCAATTAAATGATTTTAGAAAGAGGTAAGACTAGAAACAGTTAGAAATTATCTGAGCAGACTAGATTATTTAAGGGAAATATTATAGTTAGAAAAAATTTAAACCGAGGGCTGAGCAAAAGAATTTTCTATTGGTAATTATTAGATGCAAGTAAATCAATAAAATACCATCTGAACAAATTAAACTGAACTGATATTAGAAAAAAAATTTAAATCAAAATAAAAAAATGTTTTAAGAAACAATTTAGAAAGATTCTTAAAAGTCTTAAATGAATTAGAGAAAAATAATTTCAAATATTTAGAAGAAAAGGTTAGTGAAGTAACAAGAAATTATTAATAATTTAAAAGAAATATTAAAGAACGAGAAAAAGAATCCTAAAGTCAATATTAATAATTAGAAGAAAAAAAGAGGCCAAATCCAAGCAATTAATTTACAAACTAAAATTAGAGAACGAGAAGAATTGTCCAAAGAAAACCAAAAAAGAAGATCAGAATTAGTTTAACTATTATAGATAATATTATTAAATACCTTAGTCAGATTGCAAAGATATGGAAAATTGACAAAACTCGACTCCTTAGCGGTTCTATTTTGCTTTAATACTCAAATAACTAACTTTCTAACATTACCTAACGGTGCAACAATACTCCCATATCTTTCCTTCCTACTTTACCAAACTCCTTAACGAAACTCTATTGTGATAATCAGCTTACCAACATTACCTAACTTCTTAAATTATCTTAACTACGAAAGAACTCATATAGCTAGTGTTACAATTGAATGAAATTTTGCCCGAAATCTTCATAATTTCGCATGAGTATCGCTTTCGATATTTGCAGTTAGCCTTTTAATGATTATTTGCCAGACTGTCAAGGTGCCAGTATGACAAAATGTTAAGAATGCCAGGATATCAAGGGCCAGTATGATAGGATGTCAAGAATGCCAGGATGGTCTAATTATTATATATACAAGCCAGAATCCTTAAACAACTTAATATTCCACGCTCGCCTTTAATATAATTTGCAATCAATCTCTCTAAATCCTTCCTTTAACACCTTTGCGATATTTTCACTTTCGTCGTTTTAACTTTTTAGATTTAGTATTTGTAATGACGACGTTTATTTTTAATTATTTTTTTTTTAATTTCCGATTTTATGTTATTTTTATTATTTGTAATATTTACGTAATTGTACAGTTTTAATTAATTTAATTAAATAGAATTTGGCATTTACTTAGTTTAATATATTGATATAGCGAAAAGTGTAGAGCGCCAATTTTGAAGTAACACTGATTAATTTGATAATATTAAATAAATAGTTGTCACAATACTTTATTTTTAATATCTTCTGCTTCCCTATGAAAAATTTTTGGGAAAGAATTCCGGTTTTTGTCTGGTTTCTGTTTTCTGAAAATATTCCGATTTTATTATTCTGATTCTGATCCGAAAAGTGATCATTTTTCAGAATGATACTTGCATGAAGTTATCCAAAAGTGCTCAAGTAAATTTTACGAATATAAACGGAATATTATCGGATAGTTTACAATAGATATTATCCAGAAATGCATAGTAAATTTTATAAATGTAAACGGAGTATTATCAGATAGTTTACAATAGATATTATCCAGAAGTGCACAGTAAATTTTATGAATAAAACGAAGTATTATCAGATAGTTTACAATAGATATTATCTGGAAATGCCCAAATTAGATTCAGTAAATTCTATGAATGTAAACGGGATATTATCAAGTACTTTAATTATATTTTCGGAATATTATCCGAAAGAGCTCGTAAATGTAGTACAGTATTAATTGTGATTTATCATCTAAGTAAGTTTTCATATGCACATTATTTGTGACACATGGCGCAGTGGATTTACTGTGTGCTATTTATGTGATACAATAGCGTAAGTCTTCCATACTAATTTCAAATAATAGGTTTCATACGGTAACCTATTTTTTAGCTTTCTTGCGGGTGTTGCGAATAGTAATTTGATTATTTGTTGTTTTAGTTACTTTTTTGGAATTTGCTCTTGTTGTTTTAGTTGTCTTTTTTGGTTTCTTATATTTATTGAATAAATAAAGTATTATATATGAGTTTCATAAATATTAATAAATGCCAATCATTAAATTTACCAGAATTTTTCACGACTTCTTCTTGTAATTGTGAAGCATTAAGAGCCACGTTTAAATTAGTAGTTTCAGACTCTTGACTTTCCATAGCTGAAGCTAATTGTAAATTAGCGTCAATAGTCAACAGTTCGTTGGAAATTGGCATGGGTATAAGATCAGCATTAGTACTTGACGTCGAATTGGAAATTAGCACAGGTGGAAGATCAGCATCAGTATTTGGCGCAGGTGGAATTGTCTTCATTTTCTTGAATTTCGAATTAGGTGGTATAATGTTTTTGCGTTTTGGAGGCGGATCAATACTTTTTATTTGGGCTTCTTTAATTATTTTCTTTCGTTCAGTCTCAGCTAATATTTGTTAAAAATATTAATAATAAAAATAATATAGTATATATCCGTCTAATATTAAATTTAAAGTAACACATACCCCAATTTCCAACAATATCCTCAGTTATTTTTTGCAAAACAAAGTCTCCAACCGAAACAGGAAAGGTTGGAAAGTCACTTTTAAACTAAAAGTAATTAAAAGTTAATTAGTAAGTTTAATATAAAAATATATATAGTTATACAATTTGTACTTACACTGTTAATAACATTTCAAATTTTACCTGGCATCTATTCTGATGCATATTGTCATTTTTCACAAGTAGTATTCAATCTATCGCGAAGATTTCTCTACAAATTGCAAATTATTAGAATATACAACCTAAATTATAAAAATATAGAGATTTACCCGATAAGTCTAATATGTATCATATGGTATCTGAAGAAAATCTTTCCAGTCTTCTTTTGGTTGTTTCTTTTTTTTCCACTGGTTCCATTCTTTTTTCGTAATAGGGTTTTGTATTAAACCACGTGGAAACTAATGATATTGAATATTATCACAAATGTTACCATAATTTTAATATTTAGTATATTTTTACCGATGTATTAATGACGCTTATAAGAGCATTTGATGGCATAGAACTAATAGAAGTAGCAGAATTAGTAGATTGAGTTAGTGCAGAGGATGTTTGTTGATTTTGCTTAGTAATCATTATAGCAGCTTGTTGCAGAGCTGTTAGGTTCGCTAATAGCTGGAGTAACAAACTTATATTTGGGATAGACTCTAAGTTTGCTGGGGTATCTGTATTGCTATTATCTTTATCCAAATTATCCATATTTTTTTTTGAGAATAAAATATTAAAGAGAAGATAAAGAAATCTTCTAAAGAAAATTTTTTAATGATCGTATTTATCAATTTTATAAGCTTTAATGATCGTCATATATTGAGTTTCTTCAAGCATTACGAGTGATCATTGCCCTTGGATTTTTTGGCCAATCAGATCATCCAATTTAATCTCATCAGTATTTTTAATTTCATCAGTATTATATAATCAGTATTAATAATATATAT